GCTCATAGAATGGCATCAGAATGTGACTACTAGCGGCATGCACACCGTATTGATGAAGCTAATGATACGAGTCAGCTTGGCGGGTTCTATCATCCTTCAGAAATCTCAAGCCGTTCTACTAGTTTTACAAGCAACGACGTGACACACAGGCTAAGAGCGATGATTACGTGCTCTGGGTAAACACGTAGATCATACTCTGAGCAGATTCCACCAGCTGACAGAGATAAACGGTGCGCCTGTAAATTGTCCATCCGACATGGAGTACTCCAAACTGTTTAAGAATGTCCACAACATCAGGGACACTCCTAAGCGCATGACACAACGAACGCAATAATACGAAAATATCGAAACAAGAGCAGTAGTTTGGTCTGAATCGAACAGATATAGCTTCGAATATTGTAGGATATGAGGGATAAGAACGCAGGGCGCAGAAAGAGGTGGTGGTGTGACACCACTGGTGTCCTCCTGACTGTCAGCAATGGACGAAGAACCAGCCTGTGGAGTTTCAAACAGTTCAGTTCCAATTCATCAATCTGCTGCAGAAAAAGGCCCCGTACGGACCTGATTCGTATCCAGTGAGCGAGAACGCTGTGGCATAGCGGCCCCACTTTAGACACCCCGGAACACGTATCTTCAGCTCAACCATGGTAGCATCACTTAGAGACAGGTACCACCGAAACGGCCAGACCCGACTCGAGCCGTCGACGGTTCCGGGCAGATCCTCCCCGACGAGGGGGAGTCCTCGTTAGGGCGTCCCCCAAGTTCACAGATTCTCGATAGAAGCTTATAGCCGGATCACAGTAGTAATATGTAATACTCTCACAGCCTCTATGGTAGGCTGTCCTAGTAGCATGCGTAGAATAGGGGTGCATACGAAGAGTGCCGATTTCAGTGAAATGATATGCGTCTGGAACGCATCATCCCTTCCCAGTTACATGATGGCTGAGTACTGAACTCATCTCCAAAGGATATTTCCAGAGACGGGCTATTAAGGCAATTGAGTTTATTGTCGTACCAAAGAACCAACCGCAAGGATGGTCCCCATGAACATAGCACTCGGACCAGCATACTTTAAACAACCTCTCAATGTACCCGTCTGGACAGCATAACCAGCGATGCCCGCAGAGGCTCCTATGAGACCTGAGACGAAGCCGACCAAGCGATCCCAAAACACGCACACAACATCCGGCGACGTTACTATTACCTCCTTGCATGAACATCATCGTCATCTGTCGCGCATAGAAGCCCACTTTACTAGGCTGATGGATCTTATACTGCTGTTGTTGGTAGCTCATGAGGATAGTAACGACGGTAACTGGACGAGATGAGGCAACGCCACCTATCACACCGGTTCACTCGGTAAATATGAACATAGAAATGAAACACTCAATTATCCCGTATTATCGTATTTTACATGATGATGATATGATATTCTTGGTAACAATCTTGATTCTGAAATACTCAGGAATCAATCGGCTTCTTGGGTGCAGTTGTCTCTGCAGCGATTATATCGCGCAATATCCTCATATCACTGGTTACTTCCAGCAGAGCGTCTTCGACCTCACCTTGACGCCGTGGTATGACCATAACTCTACCGACGTCCTCATCCATACACCAATGCTCAACTAGAGCCTCCTTCTCACCCGGAGGGGCTAGCAGGAATGCATTCACCATCCTGCTCAGCTTGCCTAGGTCACAGTACTCCTCATAAGCTTGTCTGTCTGAACACCCTTCCTCAAGAGGATCCTCATCCACCACACGACCTAGTAGAATCTCCTCAACTTCCCTTGCACTACGATTCCCCGTATCCAATCTCACTGCAGCTTGCAGCAGCTCTTCTTCGCAGCGATGATCGTTGACAGTTACCCCAGCCTGGAATGGAGTCAGTGTGATGGTATGCAGTGCATCCGAGAAAAAGATATCCTTCTCTGTGCGTACATCGTCTTCTCGACGGACCCCAGTAACAGTCCCTCTGGGCACGACGTCGATGAAGGAGCAGGAGCGCAATGGAGGCTGCAAGTCGTCAAATCTGGAGAGTGTCGCAACATCATAGACATGATCAAAAGTACGTCCAGTCGCCTCTGCAGCCTCTTCCCGCCGAGTACCAAGATCACCATCTGGAAGATAATGAAACCATGGCGGGTTGTGGTCGGGACCCTGAACTAGGTGTATGTTCGCTGCCCTCTTGAAAGTGTGTAAAGGTAGAGTCCACCATTCAGTATGACTATCCATAGGATCATCACAAAGAGGCTTATGATGTACAAATGCATCCACATCACAGTCGGCGTTACTCCAAGGTCTCGGCAGAGCCCCTACAGGAGAATACAGACCCAGAAAGAGATTCACAGCATGCTGCTTCTCCTGATCTGATACATTATTAGCATAATGGCGATGTAGTGATATGAGAAGATCCCTACTGCGGGCTGCCAAGCCAGGCCAATCGGAATCAGGACGGTCTTGATAAGAAGGAAAGCGGATCAGTCGTTGATTGCTGCCGTTGAAGGCCGCGGGTTGCTGATCCCTTTGAAAGGAGCGAGTTAAACCAATGATATATGCATATTTCTTATGAGCCTCACTACCAGCATATTGCCACGCCAATTGATCTCCCATTTCCTCATACATACGAGTAAGCTCTCTCATCATCATCAGTGGTGGCGGCTCCCCAACCTCAGGTAGCCCTATAAAGCCTTGTTCCCTCAACTGAAAGCACAGTACTGCATACCCTAAGTGGTATTGGAAGACATTGGTCCGATCAAGGCAGTCCACACAGCTACCCCTCGCCACTCCACTTTGGAACCTTCTGACCCCCTCGCCCTTGGTGTCCAGACAGAGCCATCCTGTAGACAAGGCCAACCACTCTGATAATATTCCTAGATGATCAACCAAGTCTTGCCGAACGCCTTTCTTGAGCCTAGCCTGACCAGCCAAGTATTTACTATAGGCCTTCAGATCGAAGACTATGTATCGTATCTTCAGTGGTGGTGGGAGGTCAGCGTTCAAGGCAGTGACCGTACGCTGATAGCGAGAACCCAGCATAAACTCCTGTTCATTCTCAACAGTGGACAATGAGCGTGGCGGACGCCCCTCAAAAGGACTTTTCTTCTCTTCTACCTCCTCCTCCTCCTCCTCTTCTTCCCCCTTCCTCTCAGCATGCCGCATCAAATTGACCACCAGTATTGGGCCGCCATACCTCCCAAAGAGCCCCGAGAAGTGCCTTTTTGATGCCGTATTATTCCTATCAGTCCTGTGAAAGCGTATAGGAGGCTTTGGCTTCATCAGGCCCAACTGGTTCTGGTCCTGCATCCAAAACACAGGCACACTACCGCGAACTTGAACAAAGCTACTCAGAGGGTGACGACCTATCCCTCCGGTAGAGAGATCAATAAGCATCTGCTCTGTCTCAACCTCATTAGCCGCATCACCATCAGCGTTAATGCCTCGCTTCCTGTACCGAGTCCCTGCATAGAAGCGAGACCGCCGACCTACGAGGATAATGCTCAGTACTCGAGATAAGGAAGATATCTCGCGCGCCGCAAAATACCCGTATATGATGGGTACATACCATTGTTGAACTCGCCAGTCAGAGTGATTACGGAAACCTTCGCTGTGCGTCCAGTTCCACACAAAACGGGACAGAGAAGATTCCGCGATATTAGCCTGGGCACTGCGTGAGATATCGTATGTATGACAAAAGTAGTAGCCTCTACCCGCCTGCATATCCTGGATCCAATCGATAAGCCTACGCTCATCCTTAGCCAGCTGACGTTGATGTAGTATAGAGCCCGTATTAGTACTACTACTACCACCCCCACCAATAGAATACTGCTGCTGCTGCTGCTGCTGCTGCTGGTTGTTGTTGTCATGGCTGTTACTACTACTCTTCAATGGTATCAATATAGTCTTCTCAGTACTCCACACCTGAACACACTACATACTACTTCCTACGAGGCCTCGATACTAGAAAGGTGCTGCTTACCTGGTGACAGCCTCGACCACCGATCCATCCCACTGGTCGAGCCTCCGAGACAACTACTAGATAGTATCCTTGAAGAAGTTGGATTAACCCCACCACTGCCTGAACATATCTTAAGTCGAAGTCCACAAGATACAGAATAGGCCCATATGAGGCCCACCCGTATATCACTAGCAAGTCGTTTGTCCGAAGAGGCCCTTATATCGGTATCAGTAGCATATACAAGGGGCCTCGAGCTGACATGTGCAGCCTGCCTCGCAATACACAGGTACTCCGCCTTCTCCTCCTCCTTGTCCTCGTATCTTAACTACTTATTATAACGATCGTCTAGGATTAGCGATGGACTACCTCCTCAGAGCTCTCACATACACCAAGTCACTCGACTGATACACATCAATCTTATCAAAGTCGCCAAAGCCCTGTGCAGCTCTCAAGGGTCGTAAAGGGTGGGACTTCCCAGGCATGTGACCATCATCACTAACATCACTTCGCAGGAATATTAAGTTCACATGGACTAGATGTGTTTACTTAGATTACACACCTTCACACACAGCCTTCCACTGAACTCAACAACAACGTGGGGTAGGAGCAGAAACATAACAACATGTTAGTAAGGACGAGGTCCCTTTTTCTTACCGTATTTAGGCTTCAACGTTGGCTTCCCAATCACTTGGTCGGACATCTCACGCTCGAAGTCTTCAACCTCCCACTGCTCCGCCTCGTCCGAGTCGGGTTTGTTGCCTTCGAAAGGATTCCCGACGAAAGGATTAGACTTCCTGCACACAGAAGAATATCTTTAGGTTGACTGTGTAAGATACGGAATAGGTCCGCTTCTTACCCAACCCCATACATCTCTCTCAGCGTAGACAACGATGGTATTGCTTCCTAAAACACATACCTCTCCCTCCCCACATCTCCTACACATGTCCCTACATCATTATCATCATTAAGTAACTCCTTCAATGATGCTGCCACTCTACTCTTCTTCAACGGAGCTGCGGAGTACTTGGACTCTACGCAAGGTACAAACCCTATTCCGATCGACTTTAGCATTACTACTACTACCATCAAAAGCTATTGCCTCGGCGATCTCCGTAGCACCCTCCACCGCATCCTCGCCCAGTAGTGTTTCATCATCATCAACTCCGAAGAGTTCTTCTTCCTCATCCTCCTCGTCCACGATAGGATCGAGCATCTCAGCAGCCTCAAGTGCCGCCGCTGTATGACGTCGTTGTTGCCTTCGAGATACTCCCATGGCCTGCATCCCCTCCCATCGACGATACTTCGATGCGTGTAGTTTACCCACTAACGATGCACGCTCCTGTTCGACCTACACAACCACGAAATAGAGCCGTCATCAATCATGATAGAGAACCCGGTTGTGCCCTCCTACCTCCAAGCGTCTAGGCATCTTCATAAGACTCTTTATCTCCTCCTCTTCCCTACCAGCATCCTTATAGGCCTGCTTCAGCTTACCAAATCGGAAACCACGCACTCTCGACAGGATTCGCCGTAGATGGAGTTCCTGAGGACCGCCCTACAAGCTACTACTACTATCGAGATCTTACCCTCAGCTCAGCCTCCCTCTGTCGAGCATAGGCAAGGCCGTTGGGATAGAGGGGGTTAGGTCGTCGATTACTACCGAACGCTGGCACTATAGCGGAGTTCCAAGCCATAGCCATCTCAATCTAAGAGGAAGGACTTAGGGCGTACCGAGGGATGATGGGTTACCTTCTGTTGCTCTTCCAACTTCTTCCTCCTATCGCGGAACTCTTCCTCCGTCCTGAAATGGGTATACATGAGATCGATGACCAAACAAACCGACAAGATAGGGCAGAGGAGCGTATAGTAGACTACTACAAGGGTTTATACATATCTGATAAAAAAGCAACCACACTTTTGTCAATTTTCGGCAAACAATATTAACATCCACGATGATGTTGTTCCAACTAAAACACTATAGTATTCACCCCAAGCCGTCCTCTTAAATAGCACTAGACTTCCAAGGGCGACCATTTACATAGCATAATGTCCATCAGTGAAGACAGCAGCAGATTAGTTCCTATAACTACTACTGTTTAAATGCCATCCTTCTGTCCATACCAGTGTTCATCAACTGTAGCTGCCGGGCTACGAACTGCATAACAGGATGGTCATCTCTGAGGGCGGCGGCTTCCCCAAGACTTAGTACTATTAGTAGCTCACCTGTAGGTGTCGTTGCCACGGGTCCATTGATTACCCTCTACGAAGCAGTCTTGGAAGCGCAGGTCCGGGTACTTCCGTAAGAGGAATTTGACAAGTTTTGGGTATGGATTTTTGATCTTACGAGTCTGAAGGGGGAAGAGGAGAAGACAGAAAATTACTAAATGTGTCGATGTAAAAGTTCAGCATTTATGAGTGTAATGATATAATATACAGTTATCTATGATATCAGTATGAG